ATGTTCCTTATTATAAATTACAAAGGTTTTTGAGACCTGCTTCTCTGAAAACATCTTTATTCTACCCACGTACTTGACTGACATTTTGGCTAGATATAGATTCATAGATTGGGACCCACACTCCCTCAGAAGTTTTAAGGAATTACTCCACTGTCTTCTAGCTTCCAGTGTTGGTATTGAGAGGGCCTGTGCCAGCTGAACCCCTTATCCTTTCTAGTGACGTGCTTTCTCTGTAAGCTTTTGAGATCTACTCTTTGTCGCCTGTGTCCAGAAACTTCAAAGGGATGTGCTTTGCTGTGGGTCTTTGTTCATTCATTGTACAGAGGAGATAATGGCCCTTGTCTACATTGAAACTCATGTCCTTTTTTCTGGAAAATTGGATTGAATTCTTCCTCAGATAGTTTCCTTCTCTTCATTTTTTCTGTTTTTCTATCTCCATACCTGTTTGGAATGCCTGTTAGTCATGTGTTGCACCTTCTGAATTGATCCTCAAATTTTTTAATCTTCTTTCTTCTATGTATTATCTTTGTCTTTTGGTTATACTTTCTGGGTAGATTTGCTCATTTTAATGTTCCAGCCCCTTCTGAAATTTTTATTTCTGTTACATTTTGAATTTTCAAAAGCTCTTTGGTATTTTCTGAATATTCATCTGTAATAGCATTCTGTTTTTGTTTCAGAGATCCAGTATATTTATTTATTTCTGAGGATGTTATAGGGTTTTTTTTTGCATTTTTTCCCTCCTCTTTCCCTTGTGGCCATTTCCTCCGAGTTCTTTATAGTTGTTTGTTTTGGTCTCTGTCTTTTATGTTAGAATATCTGGTGATCCTTGACTTCATATTTATAGTTACATGTCAGTTATCAAAAAGCCTCTTAGAACCTGTGTGTGTGTGTGTACATGCATGCGTGTGTGGGAGACACTTGGCACATTAGACCTTACTGTTTCATTGGATACCCTCAGATATTAGTATGTCTGTAGGTGTTTCCTCTTGAGGTTGTCAGTTTCCCTGAAAAGGGACCTTCTAATCTTCTGCCTCATCCAGAATGGGAAGCTTAGACACGGAAGGCGGCTGGCAAAGGTCTCACTCTTCATCATGCGGTTTTATTTAATCCCATTATTTTCAGTAAGTGCTTCACTTAGCTGTGTGTGATGTCTTCAAAACTAGAGACTTGCTCGTTTATTCTCTCCAGACTTTGACTGTAGATCTTTAGCACACCGCACGAGACAGGGATCTGGGAAGTCTTGTTACTCCTTCTACAAACTTTCAACCAGTCCTCCTGTGTTTAGCTCCTCACAACCTTGCCACCAAATATATCTGATGCCTTCAGTTCGTAAGCCTTTTAAGGGTTCTCTGGTATGAATTGGCTTGCTTCTTGTTGGCTTCCCTCCCTGCAGGCAGAATGGAAAAACAGTTAGCAGAGTGGAGAAAGAGGAAACCTAAGACAATTACCCCTTGCCATCCACCTTCTGTCTTTGAAAAGTGTGCACCTTTGTCTAATCTGCCCTCCAATCCTCTCTGCCTTGGGGCTTCTTCTCTTTTTATTCCTGTACCTTCATTTCGGTGAGGATTCTAGAGGATAGAGGGTCAATCCCTCATGTCTATCTGGAAGACCCCTGCTGTCTTTTTCATGTGCCCTTCTCATTTCACTGTAGGTTTGTTATGAGGTTCAAAGGAGGGTTCTTTGGCTAAATCGCTACACAGTTCCTCCCTGTTTGTTGGCTTCAGGAAGGCTGGTTTTGTAAACTAGGAGTCAGCACATTGCCAGGTCTGTCTTTGCTCTGTAATCACTTTGGAAACTCTCCAGCTTCTTTTTTAGACAACAAGTTGCCTGTCATATTGTAGGAGGCACCACGCACCTAGGCATTTACAGATGCTGGATTAGATTTCTCATTGCTTTTTTGTGGGGAGTGTTTGACTAAGCACGCACATGTTACTCTGTTTTGGAAATCAAAGCTCATCCTACTCCCCCTTATTTTGCCCTGTGCACTATTATACTGTTGTCTCATACATCATAAAATCATTGAGTGTGTTCTATAGAGCAGCAGAAAAGAATTTATACACTGTCATTCATCTTTCTTTCTCATAGAACATGATAGATATATAATGCTTGTGGCTTTGTAAATGACTCAAGTTAGATGCCTTGTAATGCATTTTCCTTGAGGGCCTAATGAAAACATTAGTTAAGTAATTTTTGTTTAATTATTATAGTTTCATTAAACTCTTGAGATTAACACTACGTAAGCATAGTTGATTCAAGTTTTGCTAACAGTACACCCCCTCAAACCTTTTATGTTGGTTGCAAATTACTCATTAAGCCGTTTTTTACATTTAAAAATAGAAGCCAAATGAAAAAAATAGAACTCAAAAGGTTAATTGTTTCCATTAGCACGGAATGGTTAGCTGAGAGATCTGATGTCATTTTATGCACGTAGTAGATAAGAGAGACTGAGCCCCTGGGGCCTTTTTGGCCCATAGGAGTCACATATCTTTCTTAGACTCTTTCCTGTGGAAATTCCTAGTTGACTTGCTCATTACTTTCCCTGTGGACTCCAAGTTTGTTCACTACTGTGTGTGTGCCCAGCAGTGAGGACAATCCTTGGCACATACAAAGATTGATTGGTTGGTTGATTGATTGCATGGCTAAGTGGGCAGAGAGATGGCAGGTATTTTAACAGCCTCTTCTGTTTGGATAGGCGGCTGGTGAAGGTGTGTGCTATTGAACACTGTATGTGCCATGAACACTTCCCCACCTCAGCTCCTAATTTCTTCATGTTCAGCCTGGATGTCACTTCCTCTAGAAGCCTTCCCTGATCACTCCACTTCTCCCAAATAGAGTAGATATGTCTGCTATGTGTTTATATAACATCCTGAACCACTTATCATGCTATTTATTTATCAGTATCCTTCATTAGACTAGGCTCTGTGAAAGCAGACTGTGTCTGTCTTACTCATCATTGTATCCCTGACACCTTGCCCAGCAGTTGGCTCTTAATAGGTATACATACTTATTTGAAATATTTATTTTTTGAATGAATGAATGGATGGCATTGTGTTGCCAGAAATTGCTTGTGTCTCACTGCCTATTTTTGAAGACTGTCCTTCAGTTTGTGCTTCCTGCCATTATTCAAAGGGCGATGTTTTTTTTCTCTGTAACTGTCTTTTATTCAAAGAAAAGCACCAAACAAAAGTACGTAATTTATTTAATTACTGCCCACTGAGTTATTCTTCTGCTGTCAGTCTCAAGCTCATGTCTTAATCACCTGAAATCGTGCTTAGGTATGTCTTGATAGCTTTTTTTGATAATTAGGGTAGCCTGTGTGCATTTGTATGCTGTCTGTGTGCTCTTGAAATGTTTTGCTATAAGTCAACATTAGAACCATGAGTTTTGCTTTATTGTGATGATAATGAATGTTTGAAGAACTCAGTAAAATTCAAACCAGTCTCCAAGTTTGTTCTCCAGCCACAGGAACCTGCCTATTATCGTTTAAAAAAAAGTTTTATTGAGATGTAATTTATATACCATAACATTCACATTTTTAAAGTTTACAATTCAGGGGCTGGCCCTATGGCGCAGCGGTTAAGTGCGCCTGTTCCTTTTTGGTGGCCCAGGGTTCACTGGTTCGGATCCCGGGTGTGGACATGGCACCACTTGGCAAGCCATGCTGTGGTAGGCATCCCACATATAAAGTAGAGGAAGATGGGCATGAATGTTAGCTCAGGGCAGCCTTCCTCAGCAAAAAGAGGAGGATTGGCAGCAGATCTTAGCTCGGGGCTAATCTTACTCAAAAAAAAAAGAAGTTTACAATTCAGTGTTTTTTAGTATATTCACAGAGTTGTGTAACCATCACTACTATAATTGCAGAACATTTTTATCATCCCCCAAAGAAATGGAGCAAATGGACATTTGGGTTGTTTCCACTTTTTGGCTATTATGAATCATGCTGCTATGAACATTAATGTACAAGTTTTTAGGTTGACATATTTTCTTTCTTTCTTTTTTTTTAAAGATTTTATTTTTTTCCTTTTTCTCCCCGAAGCCCCCCGGTACATAGTTGTATATCCTTCTAGTTGTGGCATGTGGGACGCTGCCTCAGCGTGGTTTGATGAGCAGTGCCATGTCCGCGCCCAGGATTCGAACCAACGAAACACTGGGCCCCCTGCAGCGGAGCGCTCGAACTTAACAACTCGGCCACGGGGCCAGCCCCTGGGTTGACATATTTTCACAGGATTCAGTTATTGACTTTAGATTACAAATGATTGGGAACTTAAAAAATATTATTCGTGTATAATATACATACAGAAATTGTAAATGTTCACCTCAATGAATATTGACGAAATGAACACACTCATGTAACAAGAACTAAGATCCAGAAGGAGAACATTGCCAGTATCATTGGGGACTTTGTGACGTTTGCTTTGGTTTAGGTTGTTTCATTTGCCTGTATGCTCTGGTAGAGCTGAAGGCTTATCTTAACTGTATGTTTGGAACATAAGCCCAGTAGGTAGCTTATGTTATAGTAGGGCAGTGGTTGAGATAATGGACTCTACGGTCTCAGCTGCTTGGGTTCAAATCCCAGCTCTACCACTTATTAGCTGTGAGACCATGGGCAAGTAACTTAACATCTCTACACTGCGATTTCTCATTTGTAAAATGGGGATAAAACTACCTCATGGGAAATGTTAATGTAAAAGTAGATTGCTTAGAAAATTGCCTGATGGGAAAATTGCCTGATGATCATGCTAAGTGCTATATGTGTGTTACCTGTTATTATTATTGTTGTTCTGGTTGTTGTTATTACTGTGCATCTCTTCACTAGAATATAAGCCCCTTTTCTGACTTTGTCACTGTATTCCCAAAGACTAGCACTGTGCCTGGCACATAATAGATACTCAGTAAATTTTTAAGGAAGGAAGGAAGGGGTTTTAAATAACGAGTGGCAGAATCCTAAATCCTTTCCTGAAACCACTTTTGACAGCTAATCTGTCTTTCTTTTATGACAGCTTTTGGAGCTATTTGACAGTGAAGACCCTCGGGAACGGGACTACTTAAAAACAGTCTTACACAGAATTTATGGCAAGTTTCTTGGTCTTAGAGCATTTATCCGAAAACAGATTAACAATATTTTCCTAAGGTAAGTGGAGGGTGGGGGAGAAGGAGAAGCAGAGTTGGAGGTTTTGTAGAAGTATTAAGTAAACCTCAAACATTTGAACAGAGTGTACTGACTTTATTCTTTCTTTCTTTTTTTAAAGGTTTGTTTATGAAACAGAACACTTCAATGGTGTAGCTGAACTGCTGGAAATATTAGGAAGGTAAGCACATTTTTATCTAATTGCTAATCTCAGGTGACTGTCATTCTGCAAATTAGGTTCAGGTGGCACAGGGTCACGCTGACCTAGATCTCTTGCTGTGTCTGCATCAGGGACTCTCATTTCTGTTTTCAATGTGTTTCCCAACTGACTCTACGAGATGCAATTTCTTGTTCCCCAATTGCACAATTCTAACTTGACTGGAATGATGGAAAGAGCGAACAGTTTATGCATTGCTATAGAGACAGTACATCTAATTGCAGTCAGGCCATTTACTCCAAAACATCTTATTCTTATTAGTTTCTAGCTACTTGTCTTTTGCCATATCTTTTGAAAGTAAGTTTATAATAAATTGGAAAGACTGCCATTTCCCAGGCACTGTGTACCCAGGTGTAGTTCTTGAACAGCTGCTGCCTAGAGTAGTGGAATTAATTGGAAAGAGACAGCTGTTGTGTAGGTTTCTACACACAAGGGCGGCTAATGTAACTGGACATTGTGATTACTTGGTCTCTCCTCCTAATCTGAGGAGAAAAAGAAGGTGGAGTCATGTAGAGAGAGTCACACCTAGGGAGGTGCGACCTCTAGGCAGGCTCCATATCCATGGGTATTCTTGGTTTGAGCAGAGATTTCAGGGATAGGAAGGAATGATGTCTGCAAATGGAAAGGGTTGTAAGTGAGCAGGGCAGGCAATTATTTGGGGAAGGAAAAAAGGAAAAGAAAAATAAAGAGTAGATACACGAGGTTTTGGAAACGATCCAGCGAGGTGTGAGGTTACAGGAGCCTTTGCTGGGGCATCATTAGCCAGTTTTCTTCTCTTAAACTTTCCCTTTACTTAAGTGTATTCTTCTGAGTAACTGTGAAGTCTTGAATGCCACTAGGGTGGCTTTTGGGTTGTTTTGGACCACATGTTAACTGATGAAGATTTAACGAGATCTCAAAAGAAGAGTTTGTCTCCGTTTAGCTTGTTGTGGTAACGTTGCTAATTCGTGTCTCTTTTCTTTTCCCAGTATTATCAATGGCTTCGCTTTACCTCTTAAGGCAGAACACAAACAGTTTCTGGTGAAAGTGTTGATCCCTTTACACACTGTCAGGAGCTTATCCCTCTTCCATGCCCAGGTAGAATTTTGTACAACTGCTTTTGGAAGTCAAGTTTGCAAACCCACTGTTTCTTGCTATTCGTATTTACTTAATTAAAAAAAAATAAAAGACTTGTTAAAGTTTAAAATACTCCCCAAGGAGGATAAAAAGGTGTATATTCTTTTCTATGCATAGGAGAACCACGGGAATATTTTTTAAGTGGGAGGAGCGTTTGTGTAGTCATCTCATTTTACACAGAACTTAGGTGACTCACCCTAGTTCACACCATTATCTATTGAACATGTTGCATATAATATAAAATGTACATGTGCTTTTCAAATTTAGATCTTTGGACATGTGTAACCATTTTTGCCTGTTCTTAAATAATTTATGTCTTCCTCGTTTTGCATTAGTCTATCCACTGCCCTTTGCCCCCTCTTGTAGTTTATTCACAAATAAACACTCTTACGAGGAAATCAATCAGTATTTTCAGATCTTTTTATTATTATCCTCCGTTACTTTAAAAAGCCTACCCTGTCTTTTCCCCACTCTAATTTCCTTACTAACACTGCCTCACATGTCACTACGGGGTACATAACTGATAGTGGCATTTGAATTTTAGTATTTCAAATTTCTGACTCTCCTCTCCCCTCAGTGAGAATGTTTTGAGTTTACATAAAAATGTAACACATTTTTCTGAGCAGTGTGTTCCTCTTTAAATGTGAAATTCAGTATTTCGAGGAAAAATTAGTCCATATGCTTCTAATTTAGAACACCATTAAGTGTTGTTTCACAAGAGTGGATTTCTTGTCCAAGAATCTTCATGAGCCCTTTTACAAATCTTGCCTCTAGTTTTTGAAATAGGATATCACATTTCGTGATCACTTAAAAGAATCTTTACCTAGATGAGTTAGCATCTGATGCAGAACTCGTCATATTTCTCCAGCTTCTGACTGTGGCAGGTACAACGTTTTATCTCCATGAAGCTGCTTTAGTTTGCATGAGCCTTTTCAGGCACTCAGCACGGTTTTTAGAAAGTGCCATCATCTCATCTCAGATTCTTCTGGAACCACAGTAGAAGCCAGTACTGTTGATGTAGCAAAGAGAGAAAGGAGGCCCATGAGCTCTAGCTCACTGTGGATGAGATGCTTTCAATATGCTGAATGTGAGATTTCACCTCTGCTTTTCATTAGCTGGGTACTTCGTGTCCCAACATTATTTAAAAAAAATTCCCCTGGAGCCTTATTAGTGTTAATCTTTGGCTTGAAAAAGTAGCTTTTTATTTTGCCTTATATATATTTTATTTTTAAAGTGAATTGAATGTGAAGTTACTAAGATCGGAGTCTGGAAGCTTTTTAGGACGTTTTAAAAATATGTCTTTTGAGCCCTTAGTATATAGAATTTCCAATTTTGTTTTTCATTTCTTATTTATCTAGTTGGCATATTGTATAGTACAGTTTCTGGAGAAAGATCCTTCACTCACAGAACCAGTAAGTATTTTTTCCATAATTTCAAAAAACTTCAGAAAAGACCACTATTCCTGGAGTGTATATGAAAAATTAAGTACCATTTGTTTTTCTCCTTTATATTTTAGGTTATTAGGGGGTTAATGAAATTTTGGCCCAAAACATGTAGTCAAAAAGAGGTAAGTGCTTCATATCAGTATGTGAATAGTTTACTAAATACTCCGCTGAGGGCCTGGCACTGAGCTCATAAGCGTGTGTAAAAGTGCATTATCTCGTCTAATCCTCATTGTAGCTCTCTAAGGCAGGACTTTAAATATTCTCATTTTACTAGTTAGGAGATTGGCACTTTGAGAGGGTAAATAGCCTGCCCACACGCACTGAGGATAGTCATTAGGCTGGAATCTGCTTCCCTGATTCCTGAACCCTGAACTTTTATCCCAGTGCTGCTCAGCCCCAGGGAAGCCCAAGTCAGGGCCTGGTCGTGTGTCCAACTGTCTAGCTCTCTTGATGTCACTTTCCTAGTGACCACCTTCCTAGTGTGGAAGTTTTGCTGTCACTATAACGGATGCTAGAGCAACTTGCCCAAATACCCACTTTACAGCGTCATGTAATTGGGAACTTAACTATGTGCAATCTTAAAATACGTTACAGACCTTTAGTTTCAGCTGTTCACAGTGGCCCTGGAAATCTCCAACCTACCATCGTTTTTACTTTTGCCAAGACCTCCCTGGGCATGTGCGCTGTGAGGTTTTTGTGGAGGGGTGAGCTCTTAGCTTGGAGGTGAGCCTATCTGGACCCCAGATCCATATCCGCTCTTCCTGCAAGGTCAGAAACCATGTGGAAAATGGCCCCAGGCAAAAAGGTCAGCTGTTAGTTTTACATTTTGGGAGTAGTTTGGAAGAACTTCTGTATGTATCTTGACAAATGGCAAGAGTCTACTATATTTTGCTCTTAACAGAAACATCCTTCTTCTCAAATCAGCTTCAGTTCTCCAAAACCCTACAGTATACAATTTCAGAAAATCGTCTAATTTCTTAATACCCATTAGGTAAAATTAAAGTATGCATTGCCACCCAGTTGCATCTCAAGATAGGAAAACATTGTCATTTTTCATATTTTAATTGCATACCTAATTTTTTTCTAAGGTAGTTATTTTTTCATGCCTAAATGGGTACCTGGTTTTTGTTTCTCTGTCAGTTTTCCGTTACATTTAAAACGATTGACCATACAGTTGATTTGGCTCCATTTTGTCATCTAAAGGCTCTGCTTCTTGAGGCACATGGTGCTGAGGCCACAAGATTCACTGTGCTCGATAGTGAGCAATTGTGCGCATGTGCCTTGTGTATGTATGTAAGTGTGTGCAAGTGTGGAGATTGGGTCGGTGTGTGTTAGAGTGATACCTGCCTGTGGCTGAAGCTGCTCATTTGTGTCTCTCTGACTTTGTATGTTCTGTTAGCTGGCGTATCCTAGAGGAGCACTTTCCCCATAGCAGGGGCTGTAACTGTTGGCGATATCTGCGTGTGCCACGATGGACTTGCGTATGTCCATGCAGGAGGGCCACTCTCCTGTTGTTTAAAAAATACAGATGGTGGGGAGATACCTAGGTTGATCGCAAGAGAGAGGAGGCCCCACAGCTTCCTGTTTTCCCGGGGCCCGGCTGCACTGTGTGTCAGTGCCCGCTGCTCCATGTAATCGATGTACCACATAGAGTAATTTTTCCAAAGTAAATAGAATCATATTTTCAATGCTGTAGGGAGTTTGTTCTTAGCAAGTACCCTCTGGTGCATTCCTTGTGAAACAAACATCTGTAATATGAATTAATGCCTGATTTGTTCATATTTGGTTTTATGTGTAAATTATTCTTAGAACAGTGCAAACTCTGATGAATCCTCATTGTTCATTTGGATTTTTTAATGAAGTGCCTGACATTTTGTGTTTTCCGTGTACTTATAGGTCATGTTCCTTGGGGAGCTGGAGGAAATATTGGATGTGATTGAACCTTCACAATTTATTAAAATTCAAGAACCTTTGTTTAAGCAAATTGCCAAGTGTGTCTCCAGCCCCCATTTTCAGGTTAGTACTAAGGAAGGCATGGGCCAGAGTGGCTTATACAACATCTATTATTATGGTAAAGTTTTATTTGTATTGAAAGAAACATAATGGATGCTAGCTACTTGCTTTTATTTGCTATTTTCTCACATGATAGCAATAATTTTAATAATAGCCACCTTTGACTTGAGCACCTACTTCATGACAGCCACTGTGATGGTGCTTTCTGTCCAGTAACTTAATTCTCATGACCACCCTGCAGGGAGAGTGTTAGGATTTTTACAGATGTGAACAGAGGCTCAAAGTGGTTCGCTTGTCTCAAGTAATGTAGCTGAATCAGAGGTGGGCTGGTGGAGTTCATGTAGTGTGTGAGAGAAAATGCTAAGTAAAGCTTCAGAGAGAAAGAAAACATTCATGTTCTATACTGTGCTAGATGCTTTGCATACATTCCTACTTCAGGTTATCCTATGAGGCTTTTTCTTTTTTTTTTTGGCCATTTTCTAGATAAAAAAAAAAAGACTCAGAGAATGATTTGCTCAAGATCCCAAGTTAATAGGGAGTAGACGTAGTAGGTGTAGCTTCTTGTGAAAGCCCGTCACCTTCCCGTGGCACCACTCTGCCTCCTTGTGGCCATTCCGGGAGAACACAGAGAAGCGAACCTGGACAGCCTTTTCTCAGCTGGGGCCATTGCTGCAGTGAAGTGGAAGCGACATGGGAGGGAAGAGGGTGATTTGGGGTGAAAGCACATTGGGTTTTATCCTTTGGCTGTTTCGCCAAAGGTCCAGACCACAGACCTAGAGAAGTGACTCTATACTGCCCATCGATTTGAAGGGATCGTTCAGCTCGTGGTTGGCAGCACAGAACCACACTGCTGACCTGGTGGACTTGATGTGGACTTTTCCCTGAGCTGTCGTTAGGCCGCGTAGTTAGAGATACTGGCTGTTGTTGTTGTTTTAATGTTTCACCTAAAGACATCTTAGTATGTCAAGTCAGTGATCTTATGACAGTTCTGTGATTATACCACAAAGCCAAAATAAAAGAGTAGAAACCTTAACATGAATCATTACATTCAGGTGATGTAACACATGTCTAGATTTAAAAAAAAGAAACCCGTTGCAGGATACTATGTAGATGTTTTACATACCACACATGGCCTGTGGTGCTCAAACACCCAATTGTTTACCTTAGTTTTCAGTTTCTGTCAGGATGATAGCAAGGTGGCCGTCTTCTCACTGTCCTCACGTGGCCTTTGCTTGGTGTGTGTGTGGAAAGAGAAAGTGATCTCATTCCTCTTCTTATAAGGCCACCAAGCCTATCGGATTAGGACCCCTTCCTTATGACCTCATTTAACCTTAAATACCTCTGATCTCCAAATACACTCATAATGGGGGGTTAGAGCTTCATATTAATTTAGCTGGGAACGGGGGCGGAGCAGAACACAATTCAGTCCATAGCAGAAAGAAAAAAGAATTTAAAATTATTTGACAGAAGTAAAACTAAGAACAGAAGAAAGGAAGAGTGCAGAGGTTCTTTATTCATTCAGTGAGTGTTCATTGGTTCATTCAGCAAACATTTATCGAATGCCCCTCTGTAGCTAGATGCCTCTCACTACTTGGCCCAGGTGTGGCACTAGGGTCAGAAGGCTCCAAATTAGAGACACTGCCACCATGTGTGCAGGAAGACAGTCAGTCCTGGGAAAGTAGTGGTTCTGTCCTAGTGTCAGACGCGTTAATTTTTACTCTGCATAAACAACGCCTTTCCTCTTTAAGGGGCTTTGCTGGATACCGACTTTGTTTCTGTAAGTGATTTTACGTATTGACAGATAGACACAGAGATTAGGAAACTTGTTAGCGTTAAGTAGCAGGTCAACATTAGACTCATAACTGGATGTAGGAAAAGCCCAGGTCCCTACGTCTTTGCTAGCATCCTCCTGTGGTCTAAGATTCCTCCTTTCAGTTGTAAGTTTCAGAGTAGCTTCATCCCCATTCCTCCCCTTCTTCCCTCCCTCTCCTTGCCTTGTGCTCTCCCTGCCACAGCCACACCATGCGCTCCATGGTTTCTAGACACACTGCCCATGTTGGTGCCTCTGCCCTCCTCTCTGTAATTCCCTCAGCCTGGAATGCCCTTTCCTTCTTTCCTCCATCCTTCAGAGCCCAGCATAGATGCCACCTCCTGTGTAACATTCCTGCCACTCTTCCTCCCCGCCACGGTATCCAGGTTGTTCTTCCTATTCTTTCCTCTCGCACTTTATTATTTATCTGATAGAACAGATATGGAATGGAAATGTCTCAGTGGGGGTAAGAGAGTAAAGAGGTGAAGAGCAGGACTGTGGAGCCTGCCACTTGCTAGGGTTGTCACCCTGAGGCAATGGCTTATCTACTCTGAGCCTCAGTTTCCTCATTTGCAAAATAGAAATAATGGTACCTACTCTGTAGGTTGGTTGTGAGGATTAAATGAGACACTATGTATGTGAAATACTTAGCACAGTGGCTGGCAGACAGGACGCACTGAATAATAATTCATTGTTTTCTTTGTACTCTCAGGGTCTAGTGCCTCACGAGTCCCAGGATTTTTTTGAACTAAGTTGAATAATGTAAATGAAAGGTTCTAATGTCTCAGAGTCTATTGGTGGGCACATCTTGTACCATTTTATTAAATTATTAAGTTTAAGTTTAATGTAAATTTAATTTATTAAGTTAAAACATAGTTTTTTCATCTGTAAGAATGAAAGAGGCCACACTTTTTCCCTTTCCCCATCTATCTATCTATCTATCTATATATATATATACCCATTTTAGAGATTTTAGATTACTTTTTTGAGATGTTGGTTTAATTTAATTGTTATTTTAGGTTACTTTTTAGAGATTTTAAATTACTCTTTTGAGGCCTTCCTTTGAATTCATAGAGTCAGTTGATAGCATGGTGGTCAGAGAAAGGGATCTGAGATAGCCAGCAGATGTATGTACAGCCAGTGTCCCTGAGTCCAGAGACCAAGTGACTTTCTCCTGGTTTACCCAGTTCAAAGGAAGGGACCAGAAATGAAGTCTGGAAAGAGTCTGGGCAGTCGACTCGAGTCCCAGCTTTGACCATCTGCTAGCACTGTGACCTTGGCCAGGTTACCAGTCTCTCTCAGAGCCTCAGTGTCCTCATCTATGTGGCGAGCACAGTGATGCCTACCCCTTGGATGGTGGAGGGAATGGTACATTCTCTCTCAGTGTAGGCGCAGTGCCCGGCCGTAGGGGCTGCTTAGTGAATGTGACTGCTCTGCTGTGATGGGCAACTGGGTTTTCCTCAGCACCTCTTGACCGCATGCCAGCTGTGTGCTGAGTCCTGTGGTTGATCTGAAGTGTGAGATGAAAGAGGTGAGCCAGGAAGGAGGTTAAAGTGGTGGGAAAACAGTGTGGTATGTAGAAGTAGGTAAAGGTGTTTGGAGTTTGGCAAGCTGTGTAGGGAAAATATGGAGTGAGATAAAATGGGCAGTATTAAAGGAGAGTATAAATAAATAGGTAGGAAAACTTCTTTTCCTTCCCCAAATTAATGAACCATTTTGGAACTTGCTGAAAGATTTTAAGCCACAAAAGTATAAAGTGTGATTAATGTGTAATTTTACATTTGATTAAATGATATAAAAATGGTCTTAAAATACTTTTGTTTGGAGAGATTATAATTTTGTTTTATCTTTGTCTTTTTCTCTCTCTTAACATTTTCTTTTTCTTTTCTCAAAGGTGGCAGAAAGGGCCCTCTATTATTGGAATAATGAATACATCATGAGTTTGATAGAAGAAAACTCTAATGTCATCCTTCCCATCATGTTTTCCAGTCTTTATAGGATTTCAAAAGAACATTGGAATCCGTAGGTTTTCAGTTTCTTTCCTCCATCCCTCCCTCCCTTCTTTCCTCTCTCCCTCTCTTCCTTTGACCTTCTCTTTTGCTTAATAAAATGTCTTCAATGCTTATTATGTGCCAGATGTTCTGCTTGGTGCTGGAATCAGATATGTGAAAAGACAAAAATTCCTACCTTTTAGAAATTCATCAACTGATGGGGGACACCCACAAGTGAACAGATGTTTTACAAGACAGTGTTTTAAGTGCTGTTATGTTAAAATTTCTGTTGATTTAAGGGCGTCCTGACTTGTCTGTGATGTGGCAGACATTTTGGGGATGCTCTGGAACGAGAGGAGGGGTTTCTGGATATAGATGAGGTGGTGATGCTCAAACTGAATCTTGAAGGGATTTGGCAGGTGGATGGGATGGGTGAAGACCGTTCAGATGGTGAGTCTATTCATCATATAAAAAGGCCCAAAAATGTAAAAAGCACCCGTAAGTTCTGAGACCTGTGGGTTTGGGAGGACTAAAGCACCAAGTCTTTGGGGAGGTTCCTGGAAGATGAGGTTAGAAAGCGGTGTGTGGCCCACCTGAGTCTTCACTAAGTAGATGGAAGGGAAACACTGAAGAGCTGTAAGGAGCGAAGAGGTCTGAATTGATTTGCATTTTAGCAGGATTTGTTTCCTAAAAACCAGCTCAGTCATTATACGTGTTCTCTAGGAAAAAAAAAAGTTTAAAATTTTCAAAGAGAAGTTTAACATCTAGTCCTATGAAAGTTAAAGTATTCTGTATTTGAATGGCTCTATGCATTTCTCTATGGAATAGAAAGAAAATTTAATGTGGCATTAGTATTTAGTAGATGCAATTTAGTATTTTCATAGTATGTTTGTTTGAAAGTTTTGCATACAACTGTAAAATACCACATTTCTCATTTTTCAAATTTGCCAAATTTTATATCTAAAACTTGTAAAATTAAAGAGCTGGTAAGCAAGTACGTATCATCATGTAGATGGTTTCTTGAGGCCCTAGAGATTGGTTCTAGCAAGTGTCTGTATCTGCTCAGTACACCGTATTTGGCCTTTCTCCATCACTGCCCATCATATTTGAGGTCATTCCCCTCTGCAGAAGAGAGCTTGAGTTCTCCTTTTAATGTGCGCAGGGCAGAAGCCACACAGCTAGTACACTTTCTTTTAAATGATTTGGAAACATCAAACCCATGACTTATTTAACATATGGCCTAACTTTTATCAATGCCTTTTTCAGTGGTATTTGGAACACATTTGTTGCAAAATGGAAGTAATGTATATTTTTGCAAAGGGCAATGCTCTTTAGACTCTAGTCTGAAGATATCAGGCTCATCATGGCAGACTCCTCACATTGGCCAAGAGCTTACCCTTGCACTTAATAAGTATGGGCTGCCATTTTGGCTGTTTAGCTGTCTAGTGTTCCACAGCTCATAGCGGCCATCACCAGCTTGCCAGTTACCTTACAGGCATACGTATTGGATCAGCAAGGGGACTAAACAGGAGTGGATGGACTAATGCACATCACAACTAGAACCATAACTCTTATTAAGCTGCCCAACTGACAGGGGTTTGGTATCATACCTTCGAATATGAATTATATATTTACATTATTTGTTTCCCTGGGAACGCTTTTGATTTTGATGAATTATGCATATTATTTTAAAAATAAAATTCTATGCAAATTCAGGTCTCTAAGGTTAGTCCTACCACAGGTGCTCCTTTTCAGGGTGAAGTTGCTTTATATTTATACCTGCCTTTTTATTAAATGAAGTTGACAAGTGTCCACAGGCAAGTCTATTCCGAGTACCAGTAATTAAAAGGGTGAAATTAGATTCTTATTTTTCTAATCCTGCCAACCCCTCAGAAAGATATCTTGCCTTGAACAGTAAAGAGTGTAACTTTCTTGCTGTGGAAATGAACTGTAGGTCATTTGTAGTTGTTCCAACAAGAAAGGGATGGCAACTGTGCAATATGAGGAGCTCATTCAGACAAAGGTTGTGCTTTTGCTTTCTTCATGCAGCATCCCATTTTTTAAGACTAACCACCATGTTTCCTTTTCTCTTGCTTCCCAGGGCTATCGTGGCATTAGTGTACAACGTGTTGAAGGCATTTATGGAAATGAACAGCGCCATGTTTGATGAGCTGACAGCCACATACAAGTCAGATCGTCAGCGGTAACTTTTTAAAGCTTTTTTGTCAGCTGTGCATAAAACTATTGAGTTCTTTCCCTGCTCTTTGCTGAAGTTGTCTAATTGCGTCCCAAATCATAAGCAGCATAACTTTATTTCCTTATATCTTCATTTTTGCATGCTCATTAGCTGTGTCTTTCTTAGTGTGCCACTGGGTAACAAAGTGCCATTTGAGAAAGGCTGCTTTCCTCCTTCCCTTCAATGATGTTTCTCTTCTGCCTCAGGGTAAAGAGCCTGGCACATAACTGGTATTTCAGGCCCACTGGAGGGGACCATCAAGTAGTTTGCCATCTGGATTCTCTCTCATTCTGAACCTATCGGAGCTAGAATTGGGCTGATGTTGTTCTTCACTCCAGCAGCAAGAGGGATGAGGCACCATTTTGGTTTAGCTCTTTGGCCCAGAACTTACTTTGTGCTCTAGGACCCAACAAATTCATTACGATTTAAAGGGCAGTGAAAAGAACATGGAGGTGAAGAGTCTAATATTATACAAATCTTCAAATGTTTAAGACCAAAAGGGAGCAAAAGCCAGTTGAACTCTTTACAGTAAATGCTTATGGCTTAGTAAAGCCTTTCTTGATTTCGTTTACGTGATTCTTCAATTTTGTTATTTCTCATTCAGTGTGTCTAACTTTCCAAAAGATGTTGTCTTAGTCCGTTTGGGCTGCTGTAAGAAAATACCACATGTGGGTATTTCATGGGTAGCTTATAGCAACATGAATTTATTGCTCACAGTTCTGGAGGCAAGAAGTCCCAGATCATGGTGCCAGCATGGTTGGATGAGGGCCCTCTTTCTGCTTCGTAGCCGGTGCCTTGTCACTGTGTCCTCGCATGGCGGAAGGAGCAAGGAATCTCTGCGAGATCTCTTATAGGAGCACTAATCCCATTTATGAGGGCTCCTCCCTCTTGAACTAATCATCTCACAAAGACCCCAACAATTAATACCGTCACCTTTGGAGGTTTGGGGGGGCCCAAGCATTCAGACCATGACGTTGATGTACTTAGAGAGATTGGGGAAAATCTAGAGAGCTTGTTAGTAGGTGGGCCCCTGGTTTGGCTTTGATCATCCAGAAGCACATGTCAGCTTTGTATATTATAAAACCATGGACCTTAGAGGATCCCAGAGGTGTGTGTGAGTATTCGTACCCAGGACCTTGCTGAACCTCCTGAGCAAGGCTATCTGTGGTTCCCCTGCTTCTTTGCTTTACCTGAATTTGAATGCTACTTGCATTTTACTGATAAAAAGCAATGAGGGGAAAGGTTTGGTGGCAGGGGGCAAAGGACCATCTCGATGATTTTTTTAAATTACCAGGATGTAGTATATTGAAAAGCCACTTAATTAGGGAATATTAAGTGTTTAACTGTAGACAGAAGAGGCTGAGACTTTTTATACAATATTGGAATAAATATCAATTATGGAATATGTTGGGCCACACTTCCAATTTAAAGAACTTTGTTTTTCAAAGATTTTATTTTTCATTTTTCTCCCCAAAGCCCCCCAGTACATAGTTGTATACTTTTAGTTGTGGGTCCTTCTAGTTTGGCATGTGGGATGCTGCCTCAGCATGGCTTGATGAGCAGTGCCAGGTCCATGCCCAGGATCTGAACTGGCAAAACCCTGGGCTGCCAAAGCAGAGCGCATGAACTTAACCACTCAGCCACAGGGCTGGCCATCCGATTTAAAGAACTTTTAATTTACTGTATTTACAGTTGTTGCAGATCATTAAATTTGTAATAACACTCCTTGTCCTAAACTTAAATTAAAATCTTTTAACAGTTTTATTTTTGCAAGTAAAAGTGATAAAGGGCACATTTTCTTACTGTGACGTACCATTAAAGAGTGCATTGTACGTGATGTCCTTCCTTTCACAGCAACTGAAAGCCCATTATTATTATCCCAGTTGGATAAAGATTAAATCTGTGAAATGCCATTAAGAGCATTAAAAACCTTAGGGGCAGCCCAGTGGCATAGTCGTTAAGTTCTTGTGCTTTGCTTCGGCAGCCTGGAGTTCACGGGTTCGGATCCTGGGTGTGGACCTACACACTGCTCATTAAGCCGTGCTGTGGTGACATCCCACATACAAAATAGAGGAAGATTGGCACAGATGTTAGCTCAGGGACAATGTTCCTCAAGCAAAAAGAGGAAGATTGGCAACAGATGTTAGCTCAGGGCCAATCTTCCTAAAAAAAAGAGTATCAGAAAGACCTTATTTCTAAAATATTCAAATTGGTTGAATTAAATTAATATTTATTGAACTTCAATAATAAAACTGTTTTCTGATCATTTATTATTTAAACTAAATAGACCAAACCCTTGAAAAAGATAGGAATTAGCCAAGGGGACCAGGAATAGATACTGTGAAGTTCATTCTGATGATCTGGTATATTAAAGTGACTTATAGCGAGTGGACTTTCTTAAGGAGAGAAGGACTTTTTTTCTTGTGAGGAAGATTTGCCCTGAGCTAACGTTCTTTGCCAATGCTCTGTTTTTTGCTTGAGGAATATTAGCCCTGAGCTAACATTTGTGCCAATCCTCCTCTATCTTTTTGTATGTGGGACATCTCCACAGCGTGGCTGGGATCTGAACCCACAAACCTGGCCACCAAAGTGGAGCGTGCAGAACTTTAACCACTCGGCCACGGGGCTGGGCTCTGACAAGGATTTTTTTAAAGCAAGGGTAATGTTTTGTCAAATGAGCAATAGAAAGTTGTACTGAATAGATGGAAACATTGGTTTCTCCTTAGATATGGAAATAGGAAAAGAAAATAAAGAGATTTATTTGGTACTCTCAGAGAAGAACTGAATGGAGGGTTTCACTTCTGGATGGCAGGAAGTTAGTAACTGTTTCAGGTCAGATCACATTTTTCAGTATTAAAATCTGAAAATGGTGGGTGGAATAAGTAACTGACACTGTTAGATACATACGCCAACATTAGTGCCATGTAAAATCGGAATTGGAAGAGAATTTGACAGTATCCTTAGCATGACAATGTGGTTAAGTTTTAAGATTCCCACCCACAGGGAGAGAGAAAAGTGGGAAAGAATGGGGGTGACAGTTACTATTTCAGAAATATTTAGAATTTTTGAAGATAAAGTTGTCAGCATAACAAATGTATGATAACTCAGCATAAAGTTCATCTGGCAGCAAAGCCCCATGGGACCCGGCACTGAATGCCAGAACACCCGCCATCAAAGGTGTGAGCGAAACGGTTCAGTAACAGGCTGATGAGTGTTTTAATGATGTCAGCACTTAATTTAAACTGCAGGTTAAGGGCAGTACGAGCCTAACGTGTGTTTGGGCTGTCTGTTAGTTGAGGAAAGTTTCTAAGCCCTTGCTTGCCACCTTCTTCCTCCAAATAAAAAGATCATGTGCCCTGAAACTGAGCAGGATCTATAGAATTTCTTTAAATGTACTCAAATCAAAGTTCTGTTATAACATATATTTTGACCTAATGTTATCCCCAAACTGTATTGAGAAAGCCAAAGTGATAATTTACCAAACAGCTTGCTTTACAGTTAAGAATCTGGAATCCATAATGATTGGTGAATTATCTCATCTCATCTGCGCTTATTACCCTGTAAATGTAATTTTTCCGGGTCAAAAGTACCAAATAGGTAATTGTTTGAAAAACTGTTGTGCCCACTGAAATTCATTTTGTACAGATTGTATTTGAGATAGCTAAAAGTAGTTATAGTATAAACAAGGCTTAAATTACCAAAATATTAATTATGAAATGATAATATTCATTACCGTATTATATAATTGTTCCCTCAAGGTTCTAATGGAATGAGAATATAAAATTACTTAGATTTTTGGGGAGGGATGGAGATTAATTTCTGGTGCTATAGATATCGGTATAACAAAAAAAATTGATGATGACATTAAAAAAATGAGACACTGGAATTATATACAGATTTCACCTAACCTGTGTGGATTTCCCCGAGTAAATGTACTGTAACTGAAGTTCAGTCCTTACTAGGTAAGTAGCTCAGGGACCATGTCCCCCACGCCTGAGATGGCAGAGCCCCTGTTTTCAGGAATTATCTGAATTTATGGATTCCCAAATGTCATCAGGGTCTGCAGTTTACTGGTTCATCACAACATGAGGAAACTAGGGGCAGTGCTGTGAATTATTTTCACTGTGAATTTGTTTAATTTACAGTATTGTCATGTATTCTTGGATTATGTATTTCCTACTTGGTTGATGTTAAAATTAACATCCTTTATTTTATAAAAATATGGTGATATAAAAATGTCCTTGGCAAAATAAAATTTGTTGACCCTGTTTTGGGTATCTAGTTTTTTGGAAAATTTTACCAAAGAGGGAAATCTGTAAGTCTGGAAATCACTAGTCAGATTGATATTGAGATTAGATTCTGCTAAAGAGTTTACATATACCGTGTACATAATTTAGGAAAAATGTATAATAATGAAGAGGAAATATATTTTCTTTACTTACGACATTCTCCGTATCAGTGTCATCTCTGGCACCTCTTTGAGAAACTATTTGGAGACAAAGAGGAAATTAGATTTTAACTAGACTCCCAGTAAAAATTACTAGTGTGCCATTGGTTTTAGGATAACAGACACGAGGAAAGGATCCCCATTTTTGTTTCTCAGTAATTTTGAAGTTAGTTTTCTTTATTAAGCTAAGTATAAAGGAATGTTAATGTGAAATCTTACAATATTCTTGTCATCTCCTACTCTGTTCATTAATACTACGTTTATGTCTATATATGTCAATAAAAAAAAGGAGCAAGAGAGAGAAAAACCAAAAAAGAAAAACACCCATAAGCTTAATGCCAAACTTTTCAAAACCTACCTGGGGAAAAGTATGTCAAAGGGGCAATTATTGTTGGATAATATCTTTAAACCTTCTCAGTTGTTTACCTTGGATTCTATTTTTTCCCCAGTGAGAAAAAGAAAGAAAAGGAGCGTGAAGAGTTGTGGAAAAAACTGGAGGATCTGGAGTTAAAGAGAGGTCTTAGACCTGATGGGATAATTCCAACTTAACAGAAATAATGACGACAACGTTACTAACCTGTGGAGTCACGCATTTATGTAGTAGGAGATGGAGCAACAGTTTTCTGTATTGTGCAACTTTACAGTAGATTTCACGTTTGTTTCATTATTACAACAGCACTGTATATACCTGTCTCTAAGTAAAGGAAAAAGAATAAGGACTTCAATCCAAAGTTTGGACAGTAGATGAACTTCTCAGAACTTTGCAAACGTAATCATTGTTCTAACCCTCTTTAAAAAAAAAAAAGAAAGCAGTCTTCAAAGATCTGTTGATGAAGTTGCTATGTTAAAATTCCATTATTGAGAGTTCCTTATTTATCACTAGCAGAGAGTATGAAACAATTTTCAAATGTGAACAATCTTAAATTTAGCTTGTCTTTCTGCTAAGCTGTTAAATGTATTTATAGTAAAGGAAGAAAAAAAGACTGTCATTTCCTCATAAGTGTGTATAACATCCTCCTCTGGATAACTTGACTGTAATTTGACATCTTTTCCTTTTGCACATCTTCATGAGTTGAATGTCCACATGGAATGGGGCCATGAATTATAAAGGTCCCTGATAAGAAGTTTTGTTGGCTGGAGTGAACATCTCTCCAGTAACCAGGTAGTCCTGGTACTCCTTTAGTTTTAAAATTAGGAGTAAAAGAGATGAGGTGATAAACATAGTAGGGAAGGGAATGTTGGATTCATTTATCAGTTTATGGTGAATCCAAATCAATGTCTTGAATCCTTTGAAAACAGGCACTGGGACATCTTAGGCTTCAGTACCTGACCAGTATTAGTAGCGTACATCATTGAACACACATACCAGAGATGTTTTAGAAATGTCAGAAAACATCCTTTTGGACCATTTTGAAATAAGAGAGAGAAACACTAAACACTACAACCATGAAATTGACAGCCAGGATTTTGGATCTGATTGGGAATAGAGTTGAGCAAACAGCTTGGACTGTTTGGAGTTGTTGCCTTACTTTTTAATACGTATTTATAAAGTATTCCAGCAAAAGAGGATGTAGCCTCTGGGAAAAAACAAACCTGTTACAGTGTTTTTTGTAGATTCTCGTTCTATATCTCGTCCCAGCGCCAGCCCTGTTTTTAGCCAGAAAGGATTCAGGATAAGCATTATGCATTCTGAATTGGATGCGTATTCCTAACTACTGTATTTGTTACCAAAAGTGGTTCTACAAATGCTACTGAAAAAAATCTGGAAATTCCTAATGTCCTGAGTATTAATAATAAAGTTTAAAAATGCTTTTGTATCAAAGGTGCATTGTGACCAAATTGTTTAAGAAAAACACAAAAAACAAACAAAACAAAATCTAGGGCTGTATTATAGATATATTGTATTGGCGCTCTGCTTTGTATTTAAAGGTGGAGTGTTACATCTTGGGGAGATAAAATGCTGATCAATCTTGTGTACAGTGTGTACTTACCTAATGCGGTTGCATTATTATGTACTGAAAGATGTATGTTTTGGGATTTGTTTCCAGGATGCTTTTGCTCGTTATGGACATGGCAGCAGTGAGTTGATAATCCTAAACCATCACTTCCAGCAGTATTCGTGGTAGAGAGCTGATTCTGTGTTCATGTGTTGAATTGTGATAGTAGCCAACATGAACATAAGAACTGTTGTTGCTCTTAATAGAAATAATATATCAATATGGCTTGTATATTTTCTTCCTTCCGTTTAAATAGAAAGTAGAATATGCAGCTTTATTGTTTCCAAGAAAAAGGAAAAAAAAACCCGCGGACCTTTCTCCCCTATCAAGTGTTTCAGGATTATCAGGTCACAGTTTGTGTGTAAAGCCAGCTAATTATGGATATTGTCATCTCAATAACTTTGTAAAACAAAAGAAAAATTTGGCATTGTTAATTCTGAGAAAGAAACAGCAGTAAAAGAGTCATATGCAACGCCAAACACAACATGGTTTAATGGAATTAATAGATTTTTTAAAAAAAGAACAATAATGAGAATTCCATGTAAGGTTGGCAGAGGCTGCCACAGATGAGAGAACTTACTTTGAAAGTGCTGGAGCAAAGGTGCAAGTTCAAGTACCACAGACAAAAAATAAATTCGTAACAAATCATTTCCTCTAGCCCTTTTGATTTTAGCCTGTTAGTTTTGACTCTGTATTACATTTGTTTTTGACAATATAATCTGTTGTTTGCCATTAATTCATCTCTTTAGTTAGAGAACATTTAAATCATAGGTTTATAAAATCAGAATGAAATGCAGTCACTTGAAATGAGAAAGACCAGGATCCCTTCTTGCATCTTACCCTATCCTCAGAGTTAGGTGAGAACTACACAGATATCCTTCATGTCAATTTTGTATGTTGATCATTCCAAATCGAGAAGAATAAAGCCAAATTTTAGACATATTTAAAGAGGCGATTACAGCTATATGTCTAAAATGCATAGGGCAACTTCTGAGAAGAAACACTGTCTTTTCTTTTCTAACTGAAAGTGACAATGTGACATTTGTCATGTTGTGTCCGGTGACGCAGAGTAACTGAGGTGATCTGACTGTCGCACTATGTGACATATTTAAGGACGTACTTGCTGCATTTGCAGCAGCCCTCTCTGTCCTGTCCCACGTTTCTGCTGTTGCTGCAACTTGAGTTAATTGTGACAAAAGCATCTTTGTGTTATATTTTGTTTGCTTCATAATTTCCAGAACTATATATAAATATATTTTTTAAATAGCAAATATTGTAGTTAGTGAGTGATGATCACTCCAACCTTATCCCTACCATATTGGTTTCAGGGGTAGGATTCAGAGTGTCTTTGGAAGAAAAAACAAACAAAAACCCTGTGGTTTAGGATGATGCGAGGCCTTAGGCTGTGGGCCTGAACAACCATGTGAGTGAAATGACCCATCTCATCCTTTGAATCAAGCATGCATTCCTTTTCTCATTGTGCAAGTGTCCCCAGTTGTTTTCCTTCAGTGTCTAGTTTTTGTCCTCTTAAATTTTATTATATTTTGCTCTCCCTCACATCTGACTGTTTTTTATAAAATAAAAATAAAAAATAAAAAAAGTGAGAAATAAATAATACCCTCGATGCCGTTGGATACTCACAAGCAGGGTTATTCTCCTTCATCTTGGGCTTGCTTGCCTAAATGGAAGGGTTTAATTTATTTCGTACCTCCTTCTGTGCGTGGGACAGTCCAGGGTGCAGAGCCAGGATTTGCTTGTAATTGCACCTGCTATACTTCAACGTATAGCCGCAGGCTCAATCACACTATGGAAAGAAAAAAAAAGTATATTTAGAGCTTTAAAAGCTTTTGTATTTTTTTGTGGGGGTCGGGGGGTGGGGAAGGGAAGATGTATGGATGTTATTGGCATTTTTAAGTGTTCAGAGTTTTTTGGGGTTTTTTTTTTTCCTCCTGTTTTGTTTTTTCCCTTTAATTGGATGCACTGACCTGGCCCAGGAAATGAAGAGATTCTCTCTTTTGATGCTATTACCAATGTTATCACAAAGTGACAGTCATCTATAGCAAAAAGACATGATCAGTGATGTTTTATTTGCACATCAATATTTTTATTTTTATATTCTGGCTCAGCTGCTTCTCTGAGTGGAGTTAAGGAATGAGCCACAAAGGAGTTTTGTAGTAGGTATATCGGCCATGCATTTTATATTTCTCAGTATTTAATTTTGAAAAGCTAAAAGGATTGTGCATCTTGAGAGAAAGTTGAGCAAGTTTTGATCTAGTGGAATGTTAATTTGTGCTGCTTCTTGTGCACGATAGCAGCAGTAGTATCTCTTTTGGAAATAAACATCCCATATTATGATGTCTATGAATATAGGTTTCCTTTTCTTCCCTCCCTCTTTCCCTCCTTCCCCTCTTCCCTTCTTCTCCTCCCTTCCTTCCTCCCTCCCTCCTGTCCTTCCTCCCTGCCTTCTTTCCTGCCTCCTTTCCCTCCTTCCTCCCTCCCTTCCTTCCTTCCTTCTTTCCTCCCTTCGTTCCCTTCTCTTTCTTTGCTTTTTTTGAAATCACTTACTGTAAATAAGTTGTAATCCAAACCTCATGTATCAATGGGGAACTTTCAAATATAAATATTACCCATACATTTTCTGGTTGTCGTCTGATTTTTGATTGAGGTATAATGAGAATGACATGTCCATTGCTTTGGTTTGAGGATTTCGCTTTAGCTTCATGAATCTTTTGGTATTTTAGTATTTCGTTGTTTTAGCAGGAGAGGGCAGCAAAAGTTCATTTTCCCTGTTAGAAATGCTGTGGTTCATGATGGGTTTTAAATTTAGCTGTGTGTGTGTGTTTTTTTTTAAACAGCATCTGTTTGTGGGTAGAGGTAAAAATGAAACATTTTTGATATGAAAAGTTGCATATGAAAATTATAAACTGGTTCAACCAGACATCGAAGACTTCTGATCCACATCAAAGTTAAAATGCCACAAAACAATCTTCCAGCTCTGGCTAAAATATGCTACTTCCTTTTCAAACACAACAAAATGCAAGCTGAGTCTTAAACACTTGGAATTTAAAATGTCTTTCTTTGAAAATGATTTACTTTCATCAGAGTGGTAACAGAAACAAAAATGATGGTGCTCCCAAAGAGAAATGTAACCTTCCCCTTTCACAGATGTGTGAGAGGCTCTGTACTGTGGGCGCATCCTAATAAAGAAGCAATGAAGAGTTTTCAGGTGCCTGGCTGTGTTTGTTTTGTTTGTTTCTTTCTGACCTTAATGGCCTTTTTGAACCATACAAATAACAGATTAGATCAACTTAGCTGTGAGGCAATGGGGCTGTTATGTTCCGGCCTTCATCTTGAGAAAATCAGCATATGATTAGGGGTTTTTAATGTTGGGGAGTGGTCCAGTGTCTATTCTGTGTAATAAACCACTCCAAAACTTACTAGCATAACCCAGTAATTTATTTTGTTCACAAATTTATAGTTTGTGCAGGACTTGGCAAGAACGTCTTGTCTCTGCTCCTTGAGTGTCCACTCGGGTTTATCAGGCGAGGCAGGAGAACCCATTTCCAAAATGGCTCATTCACATGGCTGGCAAGTTGGTGCTCGCTGTTGCTTGGGGTTCAGCCGGAGGCCTCAGTTCTTCGTGACATGGGCCTCCTTAATAGGGCTTCCTTACGGGGCTTCCGCACAGCATGACAACTGGATTCTAAGAATGATTGCTCTAAGAGACAGCAAGTGGCAACTGCCAATTCTTTGAGGCCTGGGCCCAGAGACTGTCATGGCATCACTTAAGTTATATTTTGTTGGTCAAGTGGTCACAGGGCCTGCTCAGAATCAGGTGGAGGGAACGTAGACCTCCCCGTGACATGAGGAGAGAGTGTCGTCTTTAATCAAACATGAGATACTTTCTTTGTAAAGCATTTGGGTGTCTCGGCTAAATCACATCAGATTTGGAACCATGTAGAGTTAACCAGTAATGTTTCATGTTCAGTTAAGCTGGGCTGGGGAGAGAAAAATCCTTGTAAATTCAGCATTTCTGAGTTTCAAAGCGTAACCATTCGGAACTCTGAGGATCACCCTCTTCGTAAGTTACAGGGAGAAGAAACTTGTAACAAAAAATTTTAGGGTTCAAAGAAATGTAAAAGTTGATTTCAACTGAATATCTAATCCTTTGTATAACATTGCCTCCTGCTCGTAAATAAATATTCATATTAATGGAGACAAAGTAAATGTACAGCCCAATTCCTGTTTCCCAGGTTTTTATATAATGGTGCATCCTGGTGGTTTCTATTAGATCTAATTCATATTAGATTTTTTTTTTTTTTTAACTGGGACTAAAGTATGGGATAGCTAAGGGGAATTAAAATTTGATTTTTTTTCTGATGATGATACATGTTCATTGTGTAGTTTATTCCTGAAAAGGAAGATTGAAAAAAAAAAAAAGTTGGATGATTCCCATGCTGCTCCTCATACTTAAAAGTCCAGCGTAAGACATGCGTTCGTCCGTTGACTGGACCAGTGTTTGTTGATTGGCTCTGTCTGTAGTCTTGCCCATTCCCTGATGTTGAGATTTTCTGTCTCTTCAATCTCTAATTTAGTTCACCTCTTTTGAAATCGTGGTTAGAATTGATCATACAATTTTGAGTCAAACTTTGCTGCTGCGAGATGACATGAGGCCTCAGAACCGCGATGGATATCAGCCATGGCCCCCTTTGTCCTCACCAAAAGCACTTCAGGCAAGATGTCTCTGTCTGGCCAGAGTCCCCCAAGGTGAAGCTGTGGACTTAGAAATCAGAGACCCTTGGGATCGTTTGGGTTCTGCTATTCGTCAGCTGTGTGACTTTGGGAAAATTTCTTGATCTAAGCCTCAGTTTCATTGGTAAAATCAAGTAAAATGGTACTTATTTTATAGTGTTGTTCTGTTACATTAGATAATATATGTAAAGCAATTAGCACAAAAACTGGCACATGGTAACCTGCAATTAGTATTAATTATTACCTCCAATAAATGCTTATTTTATTAGCTATTACTTATGGTAGTGACTTAAATATGAATGAATAATTATAATTATCATTTATCAAGTACTCTATGCCTTGCGCTAAGAATTTTAGATCATCATTAAGTTTTCACAAGCATTATTATTATTATTATTTGTTATTATTCCCATTTATGGATAAGGATAAGACAATCGAGGCTCAGAGACGTTAAGTAATCTTCCTGAGGTCACACAACTACCAAGGATTGAAGCAAGATTCTGACTCCAACTTTGAACAGTGATCACTCTACAGTAGGATGACTGCTTCTGAGAGTACACATCAAATTTTGTGCCCCGTAACTTAGACTGAAATTTTCTCCCTTCTTTCAAGAAAGAACCTTATTTCATTCATCCTTGCATTCCCACTCACCAGCCTATTTATTCTCCTAGGAGCTACCCCAAACTTCTCTATCATGCTCTTCAAGTCCTTCATCCCAACCACATCCCACTTTAACTTGAGCAGAAAATTAGAGCATCAGCTACAAACTCTTTCAGCTTTCTCCTCTGACTCATAAATTTAGCTGTCTTAGCACCTGTCCTCACAGGCTTTTCTCCAACACGCTGGGAAGAGGTCCCTTCTAATCTTGGTTAACACCTTACAGGGCCCTGCATCCCACTCCTTATTTTCTGGTGCACTATCAATTGTATTCTCTTAAGATTATATTAAAAAAAAGAGATGATATTCTCATGGAAAATAATTCAAACATTATCTAAAGGCATAAAATACAAATCTCTTTCCTTCTCTAAATCCTTAAATTCTCCCCGAAGGTAACCACTACTGGAATTCTTTTTTGTTCTTTTTTGTTGTTGTTGAAAAACCCAACTTTATTGAGATATGTAGTTCATATACCATAAAACTCACCTATTTAAACAATTCAGTATTTTTTATTATATTCACATTTAGAAATCATTACTACTGTGTAATTTTAGAACACTTTTCATCACTCTGAGAAAAACCCTCAAACTCATTAGTAGTCATTCCTCATTCCTCCTCCCTGGACCCCCTAACCCCAGGCAACTACTAATCTACTGTCTCAAGAGTTTTCCCTGTTCTGGGCTTTTCATATAAGTGGAGTCATACAATACATGGTTGTTTGTGACTGGCTTCAACTTGGCATAATGTTTTCAAGGTTCATCCATGTTGTAGTGTGTATCAGTAGTTCGTTTCTTTTATTACAGAGCAATACTCTATTTTGTGGGTTTACCATATTTTGTTTTAAAGTTCTTTTTTGTAGCCTTCAAGAAAAATGTTAATGTATGTCTCTACATATATATATTTGTTAAAATCTATAAAAGGATTTCATACTGATGGGATTACATACTGTTCTGCCTTCCCCCCCCCCCAACACTTTATTCTGAAGAATTTCAACCATAGAGCCATAGGTGAAAGAATATTACAGTGAACATCATGTATTCACCATTAGCATTTTACCATATTTGCATTTATCACATTTGTATCTGTTTATCCATCCCTCTACCCATTAATCCATTTTATTTTAAAAACATTTCAGGGGCCGGCCCGGTGGCCGAGTGGTTAAGTTCTCGCACTCTGCTGTGGCGGCCCAGGGTTTCGCCAGTTCAAATCCTGGGCTCGGACATGGCACCACTCATCAGGCCACGCTGAGGCGGCATCCCACATGCCACAACTACAAGGACCCACAACTAAGAATATACAACTATGTACCGTGGGGCTTTGGGGAGAAAAAGGAAAAAAATTTAAAAATGCATTTCAAGGTAAATTACAGGCATAAGTAATTATCCTAAATACTTCATCATGTATATCAACCAGAAATCAATGTTTGTTTACAGTTGTCTTCTTTTGGGGTAAAGTTTACATACAATGAAACGAGTTTGGACAAATCCATACGCCTGTATAATCCAAATTCTTATCAAGATATAGAACATTACCATCATCCCAGAAAGTTTCTTAAGCACCTTCTCAGTTAATCTTTAACCTTCCCTGACCTGAGGGAGCAACTTTTCTGAATTTTTCTCACTGTTGATTAGTTGTGCATGTTCAGAATATCATATAAGTGGAATTATGTGGCATGTACCCTTTTGTGTAAGGCTTCTTTCACACATTATGAGGTTTTTGGGATTGATCCATGTTGACGCATGTATCAGTTCTTCATTTCTTTTTGTTGCTGAGTAAGCAGCATTCCATTATATGAATATACCGCAGTTTGCTTATCTCGTCTCCTGTTGATGAACACATGGGCTGTTTGTAATTTTTGGTTTCTGTGAATGAAGCTGCTATGAAGATTCTTGTACAAGTCTTTTTGTGGGCATATGTTTTCAGTTTTCTTGCAGAAATATCTAAGGTGGAATTTCAGGGTCAGATGACAGTGGACATTAGTTTTATAAGACACTAGGATTCTGGGAAGATGGAAGAGTAGGAAGCACCAGGAATCTGTCTCCCCACATAGACAACAATTGTATTGGCAAAATCTGTCTGATGTAACTATTTTGGAACTCTGAAGTCTATTGAAGGCTTGCAAATTCCAGGGAAAGGTTTGGAGGGTAAATTATGGTTAATTTTGTCAGTTTGAGCTCTTAGCACAATAGCAGTTACCCACCCTCCACCCCCAGGCACATGTCAGGCAGCTGTGTGCATGTTCCTGGAGCAGCTTGCACATAATATTTGGGAGCTAGTGTGGGAAAAGGGACCCTGTCCTCCAAATTTTGAGGACCTGTACTCTGATTGCAGCTTCTGATCACAGAGGTGCAGACAAGGAGGTGGGCAGCCATTGTTGCACCTCTCCCAAATGTTGCAAGTCCCTTTCCCTCTGGCTGAAGTGACTTCCAGGGGATTTAAAAGGCTGGGACCCAATTTATACCCCTTTCATGTTTTGCTTTTTCCCCTTTCAGGAGCCGGGCATTAGAGGCTAGGACATTAAAAAAACCACTGCATATATGGGGAAATTAGAAAGTGACCACTAATGTCCAGGGAAAGGCTCAGAAAAGACCTAAGAAGACATTAAGTTTGCAAGTCAGGCTGATCCTTGGCACAGAGACTGCCTTCAACAATCAGGAAAGCAAAAATGACAAACCCTGGAGAAGGAGAATTTGATTTCCAGAGTTGCCATATTATTAGATTCAAGTGTCCCTGTTCAACAAAAAATCACAAAGCATACAAAGAAAGAAAAGTATAGCCCATTCAAAAGAAAATAATAAATCGACAGTTTCTGTT